GATGTAATTTGCACCCAAACTGACATTTCCTTGGGTTTATGTCCTTAAATATGTGGTTTCAGTGAAGCTAATTCCACCAGAACATAGTAACCGTCTGCCTAAATCCCCAAATAATTCGTTTACATCTCAGTGGAGAGCCCCCTACCCCAATTCTATAACTTGCGGCTTCCCATTGCTTGTTCTAGATGTTAGTAAAACAGTACGGATAGACGCCAAGGAGACTTTAGTATATCTTTGACAGTTCTTTCCAAACAGTAAACCAATGTTTTCAGGGAAAGGACAGGAAAATGATGTTTTAAAAGTATATCCAGATAGTCTGTCACAGCCTTTGCCTGTACTCTTAAGTCTTAACTCCACCCTAGGACCCATAGTAGTCCGCATCATTCTCTGGGACCCTACAGATAGCACCTAGACTTCCATAAGGTCTTTCTCCACTATTCATGGTGGGAAGTGGGTCTTTAGCCTCATGTTAACAGTATGGGCAGATACTCACAGTTGTCGCACGGTAGAGGGGGGAACAGAATATGTCCGGGCATGTAGGTTTGGGTCATTAAATAATTAGTTTCCCTGAGTAGTTTAGAGACTTTGATACCAGACAGACCTGCGTAAGAGTTTTGGGTGAGCTGCTGACCTGCTGTGCCTTTGAACAAATCACCCTCTATCCTTAATATTTATTTAATAGAAGGGGTACTTGTTCTGACTGGCTTATAGAGGTCAAATTTGTTTTTAGCCTGTTGCATTACAGTAGAATTGAGTCTTCATACCAACTGTATTATCTGCTACTGCTGACATCACTTCACAGACCAAAATGAACCTCAAGTGGCTTAAGGGATTACACAGAGCTGCTTCCCAGATGTGTGCGCTGTTTCTAAAATGTTAGGTTGCCTCTGCTAATTCTCGGGATAGGCACAGCAGAGCACTGTGAGGCTGAGTATGCAATGTTACCATGAAGCAGCTCTATCAGTGCCGGGAAAGAGCAGGCACCCAAGAAACGTGAGTTGCTATCTATCCTTCTCTCTGCCCTACATTTAAGAAATTAGCTTTATAAAACCACTGCAGAGATAGGATAAAAAGCACTAACTGTATTGACACAAACATAGTTCTCACCTTAAAGGGGAGAGGAATTTATACTGAGGTAACTGTGAGTGGCCAGAAACATGTTGCCTCCAATAATATAATCTATACAGAAGTAGTTACATGGACTTTTAAAGTCTTAGAATAAGAGAAGATAATGAATCAAAGCATCAAATACATTGACGGGACATTAGATAGACCTGACATAGAAGAGCAGGAAAGCCTGTGTTATAGGTCTCAGAGGCTATGTGATGACATTGGTAACTTTTGGGTAGATGTAAGTTAGTGGTCTGTTATGGTAACACATTAAAGGCTTCTCTTTATAGTTCAAAGAATGCCAAGTTAGACACAAAGGCAATGAACAGGGCTAAAGAGAGCCCAAGATAATTTTGTCTCTCATTTTGCAACATTCCAACTCTCTACAATCACCAATTTCAAATCAACCAGACTCACAGGATCTTTAACAAAGCTGTAGCTTTTTCCTCTGGGAGATTCAGTTTAGAACAGCAGCTTGTGCTTTGATAAAAACTCCTCGGTTCATAATTATCAGAAAGCTAGACAATACCATTACCAGGCTTCTGTTATTTCAAATATTCTACTGTAAGGAAGATATTTAGTACTCCATTTATAAAGGGTTCAAAGCTCTGTTGGTGCAGGAAGTGAGGACATCCAGACTGATGTCAGAGATCACTGAGAACCACGTGTGGACTGATGTAGGAGATGACCCAGAATCAGGAGTGCTACTTGAGTGTGACGGGAAAACACATCGTCTTTTGTCCTTAGAACTTAGCTGTTTCTGAAATACGGTGCCTATGAATGCAATGCATTTAAAAAAAAATAAGCTGCACACTCAGCCATGAACAGAAATACTAGAAGTTTCCCCCAGGGATATATTAGCATAATAAGTCTGCTCCTTCCTGCATCACCCAGGGTATGGTTGTTCCCTCCCTCCACTGGATGCTTCAGCTTCACTGAGAACAGCATCTGCTCAAACACTGGTCCCTAAGCCTGAGTAAAATTGTGGGTTTCTGTGTCTGTTTGTGAAAAGGAAGACAGAAGGCCCACAAACTCAAATTGTACTATGGGACCCTTGAGAACTCACAGGGGAGGAAATATAACCCTGGTGTGCTAAGATGTAATGATCCATCTTCTGTTTCCCCAGAGAGACAAAGACAAGCAAGCATTCATAGAAATGTAAATAGAAGATCACAGTCAGTGTCTCAATAAAACTTTTATTTTTTCCCAGCAATTTCACTAACACAAAGTACCAATGTTTTCCTCGTCCCAGTGAGAGACCAAGTCATCTGACAGCAGACCATTTAAATGATTTTCACCCTAGTTATGGAAGGAAGAGTTTATAAAGGGAGAGGAGGTAGAGAAGAGAAGAAGAAATTAAAAACAATCTGTTGTCAACACCGGTCTTACTCCCCTGTCTTTTTTTTTTCAGAAAATTATGATGCTGAGAGAATTAAGAGCCAGAGGGTGTGTATTTATCAAACCCCTATGACTTGACCTCTACTGTTCTCAAAGCCTATGGGAAACTCCTCTTCCTCCAGGGGGTAGAAATGTTTAAGCCCAGTGTGTAGATGAGTAAAGTAAGACTCAGAATGCTTCCAAGTCACCCAGACCATAGATGCCAGAGAGAAGACTGGCCATTGCTAACAGATTTTAATGCCCAGGTCAATAAAATAAAATAAAACAAAATAAATCCTTCAGGATATCCTTGGCTCTGACTTGATTTCACCTCAGGGGATTGCCTTCCATACCCACATCCAGACACTGCCTGTGCTCACTTAATCACAGGTACTGTTTTAAGTGCTTTAAAATATTAATGTTGCACACTTGGAAGAGCTCTTAATGGGATATAGAAAATTATTCCTCATTTTGGTGTCTAGGAACAAATATATGAAGTAGTAGCCTTCCCAAGAAGCCTTTCTTCTGGGTCTCTTGTCCAGGATGCTAACTCCCACATAGCTGCACACTCTCTGAGCCTTGACAGCATCTGTCTTTCTGGGCAGGTCTTCCTGAAACTGATGACTTCACTGACCTACATACAGCTTCATTCCAACCTAACACCTCTCTGAACCACTTTGAGCATGAAGGTAGCTTTCTGACCCCATTTAATTTGGTTGAGACATACTTGTCAAGCATTGCTTTAGTATAAGTGTTAAAAAATGTATTTCTGAAAATGCCAATGTGGTCTTTGCAAGAGATGCTCATTTGCATCTGATATAGTTAGTTAGAGAGGCAACAATGGGCCTAGGGAGAGGAATCATGCTGTCTGAGCATGAGAACCTATGTTCAATCTCAGAACACAGGCAAAAATCTTGGCATGGTAGTACATATTTGAAATTCCAGCTCTGATGAAACGGAGATGATCAGATTCCTGGAACTTGGTGGTAAGACAACCAAACATAGTTGATGAGCCCAAGTTCCAGCAAGAAGTCTTATCTCAAGAAAGATGGCAACCACTTTAGAGAAAGACCTGATATTGACCTCCAGTCTCCACATGCACACACAAATATGTACACACACACACACACACACACACACACACACACACACACACAAGGCAGCCAGAAGATCTCAGAAACAGAGGACCACATAAAGAGTGGAGTAAAGCAAATTGAGTGAAAGACAAATTTTCCTGAAGGACAAACTAATTCCCAGAAGAACAAGGTATCTTGGCTGTAATTTGTAGGAACAAGAGTAAAACATGCCACTAGAAAATGTCAGGGTACGGCTGAGAAACCTAATGGTACTGCAGAACTACACAAGCCCAGCTAGCCAGTTTGTGCTTTGCAGAAAGTATCTCAGGCTCAAAGAGCAAATGACAGCCCCTCAGTAGAGGTGGGGCCAGATGGGAAGCAGAAACCTGATGGACCACTTCAGAAAGAGATGTGTTACCTTGTATCTGTTAGTAAATTTCCTCATCTTTAAAGGGCCCCAGTAATGTCAGCCTTGTGATTAATCCTAACCAAGCAGTGAGTGTGGTTTTTCATGGGTGTCATGATAGTATCAAGGCATTCTGCCTCCTGCCTGAATCCCTGAAGTGGGTGCACCTAAAACACACAGCCTGCTTCCCTCTGGCCCTAAACTCAGGTTTGTAAAGCAGAGGAATTGAAAGATGTAGTGTGTGTTTTGTAAAAGAAAATATAGGCTCTAGAGAAAAGTCTTCTGGGTATGTTATCTCACTGTCTGTATCCATTTTATGAGGGTGGTGCTCTTACCTGCATTTTCATGGCAATGCAAATAAGAAAATGCCAAAGGTCACATGATTGGTAATAGTCATTTTATTAGATTTCCAATTCACTCCCTTTCTACTATATCAAAACTTTCTGTCTTTGAAATGTCTGAAAGGATGTCTCAGTTTGGAGTTAAGAGTTTCTCCATCTTGAGACAGAAAAGTAGGGGACTAGTGGTTGGAAGGAGGCAATGTGGGAGAGGAGCTGGAAGGGGAGGATGGTGTAGTCTGTGACTGGGATGTAAAATGAATAGATGAACCAAAAGAAAAAGTTTCCACATCTTGTTTCTAGAATGCCCTGCTCGCTAAACAAAGGTAGTGGGAAGAGTGTAGATCAGGTCAAGTTCAAGATGGAGATCATCAAGTCCAGAGGGAATTCCCAACCCCTCCCTGACAAAATGTCACTTATACACATGCATATTCTTCTCTGTGGTATTCAGAGAAGTCTTGAGGTATAGGGCATGGTTAGGTAGGTCAAGCATGACAGAAATGGACCAAAGACAAGCTCTTAAGAAAAGTTCCCATCTATCCATCAAATGCAATGTAGTAGTCATTTTTATCTCTACTTGGGTATAAGATGAAGCTACTTCATTTTTTTAGGGATCCTGTCGCATAAAAAAATATGTTCTACATCTCGTCAAGTACCAAATTGACACTCCACTCAAGGAGGAGATAGGCTCACATTTTGAAAGGCCTGCAGGTATGTAGAAACTGAGGGATTATCAGATTTAGACTCCCCATTCACTCTGGCTTCAGGCATCAGCTCAGTGCACTGCAGGGTATTTAGAATATGTCACACTCTTTCAGTTAGGTTTCGGTGTTCTCTTCCCACAAGTTCCACTCTCAGCTTCTGCTCACCCCTCCTCCCTTACATGCTTGAAGTTGCATCCATCGAAAGGTCGTATGCTGCAAATCTACTGTGTCCACATGAAGAGAGGATTCCCTGGTCAGGCAAATCCAAAGTAATAGGTCACCGAAGACACTTTCCAATTAGCTCTGGAAGGCATGTATTGAGTCCATATCTCAATTTGAAAACAGGTGCTAGTACGTTTAGGGAATTTATAAGTCTTCCGATAAATCAATGAGCCTATGCTGTAAATGTCATCCAGTGACTTCCCTCTTTTGACAGGCTCCCTCCTCAGTGCCATTCATTTTGTTTAACTCTCTCACTTCTGAACACCACAGTGCTGTAGTTCTCATAGTTTTGACTATAGATGGGCATTGGGTGAATACATAATATCTTAAACTTTCTCTTCTAGCTGAAAACAGGGCTCATTTAGGCAAAGGGGCATACAATATTAATACCAGCAAGATTCTGAGGACGAGATGTGATGCTTACTCTTCATAGTCACCTGTCTGGATTTGAAATCACCTAGGAGAGTCACCTCTGGGAATGTTTGCAAGTGTACTCAATATAAGTTCACTCAAGGAGAAAAGATATATCTATCATGTGGCAGAATCATCCCATGGGTTCAGGACCCAGAGTGAAAAAAAGAGACAAAGGAAGAGTCTTGCTGAGCATCAGCTTTCATGCCCCTCTGCTTCCTGAATCTAGATGCACTGTTACCAGCTATCTTTCTTCTAATCCCCTATGCCTTCTCTTCCATAAAGAACTATATCCCCTAAAGTCTTGTGTCAAAATAAGCCCTTCTTTCCTGAGGTTACTGTTGTCAGGCATTTGGGGGCATCAACAAGAAAAGCAACTAAGACACTTTAAAGACTTTTCTGTATTCTTGCAGTAGCTCGAATATGTGTAGCAACATCAGCATTGCAGCTATTTTGAAAGTCAGTCTGGAGGCCATACACAAGTGTTAATAGAAAACAGGTGAAACAATCCAGTACTGTCCAGTGATATCCTCTGGAAGACTCTGCTACAGCATGTAAGCATATGTGCTGTTGCTCTACAAGAATGCCCCAACTCAGAAAGAGAAGGTTGTACACTCTCTGATGGCTTCAGACTGCAGATGCTGTAATTGGGAAAGAAACCTGCACAATGCTTCGTATTTCCTTACATGGGAGTTGGTCCCCAAGAGAGGCTCAGTTAATGTTTGCTGAAAGAATAAGTGGAATGAAGAGAGAAGCTGGTAAATTAGGAGATTACTTGATCAATATGTGATTTCCAGCTGAGGCTGGAGCTTTCCCAGGCTGTTTTACACATTTGTATGTATGTATTATTCAGGCTTGAATACAACAAGTTGTTATTCCATACACAGTGCCTTTGCTTTCCTCTCTGACTCAGGGCTTCTCCTCGTAGTGGAAGCAAATGAGGCTCAGTCCTTTCATAGCAGAAAATAAACACCCAGGATGCTGTATGTCAGCTGGGGTTATCCATGGGACAAAGTTGACAGAAGAGCTCTCCCTTGAATGATGATCTTGTGTATCAGAAAATGTATATCTGGGAGGAGGGAAAATCTATGCACCATGCACACTAGTGTTGGAGAGACTGATGGCGACAGTGGACAGTAAGATTCATTTTCTTCATCCTGAGCAACTTGGGGTCTTCATTCTTTCCATCAATCTCGTTTTTCTGCTATTACCCCAAAAGCATACTGTTGGCTGTTTAGTGAGGACAGTAGTGACACTTTGTGCTTATAATTCATGATTGTATTTTTGAAACTTAAGCACATTGTATGTGCTTAAAATTGATGCCCCATGGAAGGTGTTTGCCATTGATGGCATCATCAACAAATCAGGGTTGGTTTGGTTAAGCAGGTAGACTCAGAAGTACTGAAAGAGAACCCAGAATTTGAGGAAATAAATGAAATATTAATGGAATTTACTCAAAATCCACTATTTATGGCACATGTTATTTACCATTGTTTTACTTCATAGACAAGGATGCTAGGAGGGTGTACTCCCTGTGTATCGGGACAAAGAAATCTATGCCTTAAAAATTCTCATAATGTGCCAGTAGTTACAGAGCCAGAGAGTGCCAGTGCAGGGTCTTTTATGGTTTATGTGATCTCAAAGCTTCTGTTTTGATTACTGACTATCATATGCCCTCTCAAGCTTATTAGAATGAATGAAGTGCTCATACATTGCATTTGAATGTAATTTTATAATTCACCAGAATTCATTTCCTGATCTCACAATGATAATAAAAATGATGCAATAAAAATCTCTTTCTGAACAATCTCTTGTTAAAGGGGGGGAAAAATCCCTGATCTCATTAAATGCCTGTTCTTGAATCCCTGAGGCCTGCGAGTGTTACTGTCCATGGTGCTGAGATAAGAGTTGCTAATCAACTGACCTTAAAATAGAAAGCACATTCTGCCAAAATGACCCAGGTGGACTCAGTATCATCATAAGATGCACCAAGCAAAGGCTAACATGATGCTGCTGAGTTTCAGAAGCAGCATTTCTTTACAGGGAGGGGGCCCACCAGTCAACGGTAGCTCGTAGCTTTCAGAAGCTGATAAAGGGAAGAGATTGGCCCCTAGATTTCCAACCAGTATTTGAATCCTGTTGGCTTGATTCTACTCAGAGAAACCTCAATGGGATCTCTAGCCTACAAAGCCACAAGATAATACATGGGCGCCATATTCATCCTTGAAATCAGTGGTAATTCCTTATATCAGAATAAGAGATCAATGTAGGAATCAAAGGGAGTTACAAACACACAAAATAATAATAAAATAAAGGGAAAGAAAATAAAAACAGAGATGGAAAAAATGAGAGCAGATGAAATAGAAAACAGTGAGAACACAATCCCAAAGATGTGACCTTGGGGGGCTTTCAGCTGTGGTCCACTAAGAGGCTTCTGTGACTAAGAATAGTGTGGTTTTCTCTATACCCTCAACTTTCCCCATCACAAGGAGTAGGCAGACATATTTTTAAAGTTCCTCATACATCAAGTTACTTTGAAGGGTTGGTTGAAAAGGAAATAGACTTCTGCGGCTCAGCCCCAGAGTTGTTGATTAGATAAATCTAGGATGAGGACCAAGAACATGTATTAGCTACAAGTTTCCGTGTGAGGCTGATGGACAAAAACTTGGAGACCTGTTTTGAGGAGTGATTCTTAGAAGGGCTAGCTATAAACATTAATTTCAGTTGGTTTAACTATCAAAATATACCCCTATCCAGATAACCAGGACCTTGGGAGAACTACTTGTGAGGGTGGTTTTGCATGTGTGTGTATGCATATATATGCAGGTGCTCGTCCATGTGCATGCAAAGATGATGTTAGGTGTCTTGATCAACCTATGTTTCCCCTGTTTTGAGACAAGATATTTTACTGATTTAAAAGGCTCCTCAATTTAGCTATCCTGGAGGTCCATAAGATCTGAGTATCTTCCTACCTCTACCTCCACAGCGTTAGGCTTTCTAGTATTTACTGTCGTGCCTGACTTTTTAATGTGGATGCTGAGGAGCTAAACTCAGATCTTCAATGTCTGTAATTTACTGACTGACTGATCATTCTAAAGAATGACATACTTTCCCCAATTCCAGGGCTGGAAAAGGCAGAACCAGTTACAGGTTTTGCATGCACATATGTGGCCTTGTTGAGAAGAGATGTCATTGTTCTGCCAAGTCTTGTGATTGCCACGATGTTCCCCTGTTCTCTCCCTTTCATCCATACTGAAATACTGTAAAGAAGGAAGACACAGCATCACTTGTCTAAGGTTCACGCCTGCAATTACTTGTGTGTGATCTTGGCAATTTTTCCTGGGCAGAAGAGCAGAACGATTTCAGTAACTGCCTAGAGTTCTCAGAGTCATGGAGTTTGTGCTCTGTGAATGTTGTTACCTCATTTTGTCTCCTTTTCTACTGCTACCTGGTCACTATGACTATATAGTAATAAAAGCAGAACAGAAAACTCAGCCGTATCCCTCAATTCATCACTTCTAACCTCGCGGGGTACTGTGACCTTTAGAAAGTATTTTCATTTTCTTTACCTATCTTTTTCATTTACTTTCAATGCGTGGAATGAAATGCATGATGTCTAAAGTCCCGAGTCCATAAAGCTTCAGATTTTAGGAAGCAAAGAATCCACACATGAGTATATAAACACAATGTCACAAAATTGTAGCCTGAAAAGCCCCTTGGCTTGGTCTGTTCAAGTCTTTATTCAAATGACAATATTTAAGATTCAGAAAATTGTTCATACAGTAAAGCTCTGGTTCTATATTTCTGTGTGGTCATAGCCAATAAGAACTCGGTGCTCTCACTACATTACTTAGTTGAGTAATCTCCCATTTTACATGTGACCTGCTTAACTCAAAAACATTATCTCTCTGTTCTCCTCTGTCTCTCTAAACATTTCAAGGCTTAAGCTTGTTTATGCAAATTGTGCCATGTCAAACATAGCTAAAGTTGTCGTTCACCTTGATACACAAGGAGCACATATAACCCAGGGATATTACACCAAGGTAAATTATAAGCCCAGGTATCTGTTAACACATCCAACTTTCTACCTAAGAGACTCAGAAACAAACAAGCTGATCTGAGCCTTAGAGAATATTAGGAAGCCTCTCTACTTTTAGCTTTGATTGCTCCAATACAATGTCTGAGCATAGACCTCAGATATCAGCATGGAAGATCCTTCCCACACACAACTACACATCAAACCTAATAAACACAATGCTAAATGATGTCATTAGATGTGTCAAATCCCTATGTTGTTGTCTGATAAGCAATATTGGAGATGAAGGCTTGTGATCTGTGATGGCCATTTATTTAAGCCTTGGACATTGAGATTTCTGTCCGGTGCTCCCATGTGAGTCTCTGTCTCTGTCTCCTTTCATTGCCTGATGAAGGTTAATATTCATGAGGATGCCTATGTGTTTATCTTTGGATTCACCTTCTTATTTAGCTTCTCTAGGAACATGTATTATAAGCTCAATGTCCTTTATTTATGGCTAGAAACCAAATATGAGTGAGTACATCCCATGTTCCTCTTTTTGGGTCTGGCTTACCTCACAATGAGACCTTGCTTGTGTTTATGATAGCTAGGTACAGTTTGAGGATATGGCTGATATTTTTCAAAGTCAGCAAACTCAGCATTCTGCTTTGATGGAAATTTATAGAAATCAGTATTCCAGGCTAGTTTTAAGTTGGGGGAAAATATTTCCTTTCATTGGAATGTTTCTGTCTTTATTTTTAGAGAGCCCTTTCCCCTTGAGGGTCTAGAGTGTGTGTGGCTGGAAGCTTCTCTTATCTTTTACCATTCCCAGGAGCACTAGCTATATCATGTTTTGCTACTTTCTCCCAGAACTAAAAAAAAATAAAATCCTTTGTTTTTGTCATCTTCCCTCACAGAGAAACCTGCTGCATAGTTGTTCTAGCTGTCTTCACACTCTGTCCAAGAAAGTGTGAAAAAAAATTGTCTAACTTCCAAGGTTGACTGTTCTAAAGGTCCTTTGTCAAACAAGGGTGGAGACTTCTTTCACCTGTTTGATTCTCATTACAGAGCACTACCTTTGGCTCACCTTTCATATTTAACTTGATCAATGCCACTGAGAAATAAGGGTGTCTGGAAAAGGGAACTGCATAGTCTACTTGACAAGGAAGCTTGTTGGGAGACTGAAGGCAACTGTGAGATATAACAGCACACCAGGCCAAAAAAAAAATTGTGCAGTTTCTTCTTCTGTCATTCAAATAGTATTGGCCAATGGATGATCAGAAACATATCAAATCTTGAGAAAGAGGTCCCTTAAGCAGAGCAAGGTTTTGTAAAAGAAAGTTCTATGTCTTTTATTAGAAACATTATGGAACAGCCTGGAAGCTTTGGTTGACATACTTCATTATAATGCCTGGGGTTTTAGGCATGGCCATTTTCATAGTATGATATCGCAAAAGACAATTGCATTCATAATTCTTGGCTGTAGTTGATTTTTTTTAACTCTTTGAGGGCCTGCCACTCTGTTACCAAATAAATACACAGAGATTTATTCTTACTTATGAAAGCCAAGTCTTACTTTGACTTATTTCTAGCCAGCTTTTCTTAAATTAAATTATCCCATATACTTTTAACTACATTTTGCCTTTGAGCTTTTACCTTTCTCTATTCTCTATTCTTTTCTTTCTGTCTTGCTCAGAGGTATGCTGCATGGATGTCTGACTGGCTCCTGGTATCCTCTCTCCTTCTTCTTTTCTCACTCCTCTCCCTTCTTCTCTTTGCCTGTCAATCCCACCTATCCCTGTTCCCTTCTTTGTTATTGGCCAAACAGCTCTTTTGTAGACCAATCAGGTGTTTTAAACAAGCAAAATAACACAGATTCACAGAGTTAAACAAATACAACATAAAAGAATGCAACTCATCTTTGTATCATTAAACGAATATTCCACAGCACAAATGAATGTAACACAAGTTACACTAATATACTACAGTGCTTGGCATGAAAAAATGACCTAGCCCTCATGGCTAGACTGTGGGATGCTCCTCTTAGATAAAATGCTATAGAATACCAAGTACAGACAAGGTCACCCAGAGACCAAAGTAAGACAAAGTAATAATGTTTCTTAAATGTATTTAAGTGCAACAATAATAAAACCCATTCCTTGTCCCTTCATACTATATTGATTATTTTTCTCATTGCTATTATGAATTCCCTGATAAGAAGCAACATGGGAGGAAGGGTTTGTTAGGAATCACCATTAA